ACAGTCTACCTTTTATAAACTATTGTCGATGAGGATTGACCGTCCGTTTTATATACTGTTGTCGATAAGGATTGGCCGTGCCACACAGTCTATCTTTTATATACTGTTGTCGATAAGGATTGGCCGTACTACACAGTCTACCTTTCATATACTGTTGTCGATGAAGATTGGCCGTACCACACAGTCTACCTTTTATATACTGTTGCCGATAAGGATTGGCCGTACTACACAGTTTACCTTTCATATACTGTTGTCGATGAATATTGGCCGTACCACACAGTCTATCTGTTATATACTGTTGTCGATAAGGATTGGCCGTACAACACAGTCTACCTTTTATATACTGTTGTCGTTGAGCATTGGCCGTACAACACAGTCTACCTTTTATATACTGTTGTCGATGAGGATTGGCCGTACCACATAGTCTACCTTTTATATACTGTTATCGATGAGGATTGGCCCTTCCACACTGTCTACCTTTTATATATCGATGAGGATTGGCCGTCCCAAACAGTCTACCTTTATATACTGTTGTCGATGAGGATTGGCCCTACCACACTGTCTACCTTTTTATACTGTTGTCGATGGGGATTGGCCGTACCACACAGTCTACCTTTTAATCAACAACGCCATTGTGTACATGTACATATACCGGCGGAAAACCGATGTACATTAATAATAAAAGGATAAAAGCAAGGAAAAACAAATTACACAGTCTACCTTTTATATACTGTTGTCGATAAGGATTGGCCGTACCACACAGTCTACCTTTTATATACTGTTGTCGATGAGGATTGGCCGTACCACACAGTCTACCATTTAATCAACAACGCCATTGTGTACATGTACATATACCGGCGGAAAACCGATGTACATTAATAATAAAAGGATAAAAGCAAGGAAAAACAAATTAAAGAATGTATAAATTGAATGACATTAGATGTAGTAAATGAAAGAATGTATGAGTGAATTTGAGCGAATGAAAGAATGTATGAGTGAATATGAATGAATGAAAGAATGAATGAGTGAATATAAAGAAAGAAAGAATGAATGAATTAAATGATAAATGATCGGTTTGACAGTTTTTTTGCATTGATTAATTAAAGGAAAAGAAATATGAAACCTTTGAACCTAGCATCAAATTGTCCGATATCTTTCGAAAAACATTCATGATGAAATAAAAAGAATGATGATTCATCACAGAACCAGCGAAGAATAACAGAAACAAATTACATAATTATATAAGTTATTGGTCTTGGTCTAATTCTGTAAAATATATGATTCGGTTTGTTTTTACTTGTTTTGTTTTTTTGCATATTGTATATTATTGGTAAATATCATTAATATTTGTTTTAATGTCAATTTTTTTATTAGTATAAATAATTATTATAGATAATAATGCTCTATTTTTTTTTATATATGAACAAACAAAACTTTTCGTTTTACTATTTGGAACAGATATATAGTAAGTACAATTTTACAAAACTTTGACCTGAATTGTGATCAGTGAAATAGAATATATATATGAATAGTAATGAATGCATATAAAAGTGATGTCAAGCTTTATACATTGAAAAAAATCAAACATAACATGGAAATCCATTTTAAAAATAAATACAAATTATAAATAAAGTTTCTGAAATAACTGATGACTTAACCTAATAAAAGTAAATATACAAGTAATATATATTTCTCTCACTTACTCTAATGTTACCCTGCTTGCATGGATAAAACACTTTTGAGGCCTCGATAAAGGTATGAAATCAACAAGAATGCAGCCCAAGTTCGATCACATGGTCGATACTTTTTTTAAAACAAAATAGCAATTATGAAGACAAATTCATTCCATGAGATTCATCAGGTTGGAAACATAAATTCATAAACACTTAACTGTATACACAAGTATTGTTTCGACTAGTCCCTTTGCCAGATTATGACAAAACAAATGTTCAAATAGCTTCCATCAATCCAACCAACCAGATTACCCTGTGTATTTTCTATGCGACGTACAAACTTTGCTTCACATCAAACACTTGTTATAGCGCATGATATGTAGACGATACACAAGGGTTCGGTTTTTATCAAAAAACGACAATGTTTCCCGTATCGTTGGCGAAGGATACCGCTGTCGGTATACCATGGTGGTCTTTGGGGTTTTGTGGTAACGGTAGCCCCTCTGACTTGCCTCCACCTTGCAGCATATATAGCATGTTTCTCCCCTGGTCGATGACGAAGTAATTCGAAGAAGAATCCTCGGCGCACATTCCAGGAGTAAAGCTTGTGTAAAGCTCGCCTTTGTCCTCATCTGGTTTGAATTTGTCGGTGTAATTTCGGGTTTCGTCATGAATTTTGAGCTCCCTAGTGCCCACATCGGAGACTAGGATCTTTCCAGTGGCGCTCACCATCACATACAATGGGTGTTCAAAAATTGGATCTTTCCCGATGGTAGATATTATCCTTTTCCTTTTCCCCGTCTTTGGACAAAACACAAGAATATTTGCTTCGTCACATACGTAAACGTGTCCCGCTCGTGATATGGAAATTCCCTGTGGTTTCTTGAGCTTTCCAACCAACACTTTTTGGAATACTCCCTTGGAAGTATACACCCTGACACTTCCATCTCCTGTTCTTCGTCCTTAAATCGTAAAATAAAAAGATCAATTTCATAGTCTATATGCAAACTCATGAAACAAATATATAAGTGTTTATACATTATGAATATAAAAAACGTAGTTACTTTATATATGTATTTGAAGTAACAAAGAGAACAAAATCGCAGATTTATCACACATTTCCTTAATAATAATTAATGACACTAATTTGATATAATTAGATGTGCATTAATAGACAGGACTGTAATGTGAAGATATAAAGAATAAGTTAACAATATGATTGATTAAGCAAGATCATGTCAAAGGTAATACATGTATATACAAATATCTTTTAAATCTTATTGATAATTAGGAATGAGTAATGCAAAATAACTGTATTACAGTTTGATTTAAAACATATCATAAATTTAAACAGGGAAAATGATTTGAATACGGAAACAAAAACTTGAGGACCTTTATTGTTATTTGCCCCCCCCC